CGGAGCCTGCGGAGCCGCCCGCGAAGTCGGCCGGTGCCTCACGTGGATCTGCTGGATCTGCCGGATCGGCACATGAAAAACATATAAAAACATATTAAAAAACATGAACATCATGAACATATAAAACATCATGAAAAACATGAAAAGATATGAAAAGATCGTGACATTATAGAAGCTTTGTAGCACCAGGATTTACAGCATTTGTTCATTGAATTCTCAATCTGGCTTCTCAAAATCACCTTCATCAGGAAAATGATCTGGAGCAGGCGGGTGGCTCGGTGACTCAGTGCTTTTTTCTTTTCGGGGCTGCGAAGTTCGCAGGTTTTGCTACAAGAAGCCCCTAAGCAAGCTGTCCGAGATCGCCTTTCGAGAGCAAAGGCACAACGGGCACAACGGATTGATCACTGGTGAAGTCTGATGATAAATAGATTCTATATAGATATAGAGTTGAAAAGAATTCACTACTTGACCAGACCCCTACTTTGCAAAATATGGCCTTGGTAAAGATTGCAACTACTTCTGGGAATTGCACAATTACCAAGCTGGAGCATATCAATGCATCAGTAAGAGTTGAACTAAAAAAAGCTCTTATCAGCTCTTTTTGTTGTTGTTGCTGGTGTTGTTGTCTCTATTCTTTGATAATCTTTAACGGTCGTTGCAGCGGTCGTTGAAGCTCACCTCTTCGGTCACCTTCCTTCCGTCACCTTCGGTCGCAGGAATTGAAGGACTCGCAAGCTTTCGAGGCACATTCCGGGTTTCAATTGGAGCAAACAGCTTACTAACAGTTTATGAACAGGTTATATATTGTTTATATCACACACACATATATATATAATATTATGATATATATAATACATAATATATAATATATATAATATAAAATATGATAATATATATATAAATAATATATAGTATATAATATAATATATATAATATATAAAATAAAATATTTAATATATAATATATAATATAATATATATAATATTTGATATAAAATAAATAATATATAATATATAATATATAATATATAATTTAATATATATATATATATTATATATATATTAATATTTACAATATATAATAAATAATAAAAAATATATTAAATATATAATATAAATAATAATATATATATATAATATTTAGTAAATACTAATATAATATATAAATATATATAATATATATATATTTATATATATAAAATATGATATATATAAATAATAAAAGAAATATATGATATATAGATAATATATAAAATATAATCAAAATATATAAAATAAAATACATAAAATAAAATAAAATATAATATAATAAAAAATATTTTAATATATAAATATAATATAATATATATATATAACAATATATTTAATTTAAGAAATATATGATATATATAATGTATGATATATATATATAATATAATATATATAATATATTATAATATATATATATATAATATATATATATATTATATATATCAAATCATATATATTGTATTATTTATAATATATATATGATATATATATAATAATATAATATAATATTATATAATATAAAATGTAATTTAATATATATATATATACATCATATATATTATATATATAATATATGAAATATAATATAATTTACTAAAATATTATTTAATATAATATAATATAATATAAAAAATATAATATAATATGATATAATAAAAAAATATAATGTAATATATATAATATAATATATATAATATTGTAAATATAATATTTATATAATATAATATAAATAATGTAATATATAATATATATATACACTATATATAATATAATATAATATAATTTAATTTAATACAATATATAATACTATATACATATCATATAATATATATATTATTATATGTATTATTATATATATATACATATAATACCAAAAATATTATAATATATATTATATATATAATATATATAATGTAATATCTATAATATTTATTATAAAATAATATCATATAATTTTTGATATAATATAATATTTACATATAATATAATATATAATTTAATATATATTATAATGTATTATTTTTATATAATATATGAAATATAATAAAATATAATAAAATATAGTTTAATATAATATAATATAATATTTACATATAATACAATATATATAATTTAATATAAATTATAATATATATTATGTATACAATATATGAAGTATAGTATAATATATAATATAATATTTAATATAATATAATATAATATTATATAATATATAATATAATATTATATTATATTAAATATTATAATATATTATATATTTGATATTTGAAATATAATTTAAGATAATTTAATATAATTTAATATAATTTAATATAATATAATATAATATATACATATAATATAACATATAATATATAATTTAATATATATTATAATATATATTATGTAAATAATATATGAAATATAATTTAATATAATATAATTTAATTTAATATAATATAATATATAATATATATATAATTTAATATATATTTTAATATATATTATATATTTGATATAAGAAATGTAATTTAATATAATTTAATATAATTTAGTATAATTTAACATAATATAATATAATATAATTTAATTTAACATAATATAATATAATATAATATAATTTAATTTAATATAACATAATAAAATTTAATATAATATAATATAATATAATTTAATATACTTGATTTGTCAATTCAAAAAAAGGGATATAACAGGATCTACCAGGTTGGACCAACTGGAGCGAAACATTGACTCCAAGTTGGTGCATGAAGCGAGGCAGCTCTAAAGGATGGCGAGCAAATTGGTCTTGATCTATCAGAGCTGGATGCCTTCAAGGACAGCGGTCGGCGTGGAGTGCACTTTGCAAGTCATCGCTTTTTCATGTTTTTTCATGATTCAGCAATTTGGAATTTCTGGGAATGGGGGCATTTCATGGCATTTCATGGCATTTCCCCACGCTTCACTTGTGATGCCTATCATAGAGCCTAAGGCTCCATCTAGTCTTGTGCATTGCAAGCTGTCGAAGCTGGGCAACGCTGAAAAAACAAGGCTTCACTGGTGGTAGCAAACCTGGAACTGGTCTCCCAGTTTCCCAGAGTCGTTCACGGTCGGTCTCCAGTTTCGATCAAATTAAAATGAACAATGCACACGGCTACACATTCTCGCACTACAGTGTACAGGCTGTACAGGCTGTATACGTATAGAATCTACATACTTTGGATCCTACTTTGACGTATTCTTGACGACCTTGACGGCCTTGGCCTTGTAATGTGATATAATTTTTGCATCTGCATCTCAACACTGATTGGTTGCCGCTTGGCAGGACAGCTTTGATGAACCCATGGGGGGACACGAGTTTAGAGCAGAGGTGCTTGTACAGTGAGTCTTATGTCAACATGTGTCAACAGGATCATGAATTTATTTCCATTCCATCCTTTTTGTGGTTGTTGGTTTCCGGCGTTGCTTATTGATGATGGCTGATGATGGTTGATGACTTATTTCTGGAAAATTGATTCACCATGATAACTCATTGATATTCATGGTATGTCTTTGGTGACAATTTGAGTGCGCAGGCGTTGATTCAAGATGCAGATGACCAGCCCTGGGGATCCTACTCTCAGCCCTATGGGGTGCCCTGGCCATTGCCATGGCGCGTGGAACCGGACCTTTGTTATCCCTGTTTCCCATCAAGAAAGTATTTGACAAATTTTGACAATAGCTTGTGCATTTTCTCTCAGTCACCTATAGTCACCTCATTTCGCATCTTTTCCAGACTGTTGACCCGTCTTGACCCGCCTTCACCCGCCTTCAAGATATTTCATCCATGTTTTCAACATTTCCAATAACTTCTAAGGCTCCTGCAGGACCTGTCAGTTCCTATGCAAACGCAACTCGGCTTGACAAAGTTTGGAAGCTTCAAAGGAGCTGTCTCCAAAGTCATCCAAAGTCATCCAAAGTCATCCAAAGTCTATATTGACCTCAGCTAAGATTTGCCAGAAACCAAATTTCATGCAGCGAGGGTCGAGGCCTGATAAGGTTCATTCAAAGGGCAAACAAAAAAAATAGTCTGCAGCAGGGCGGCAGATATCGCTTCAGCTGAGGCATTTGGCCCTGTGGCGTCGCTGCCTGAGGGACAGTCCGGCAATGTCTGGGCGTCATTGTGAGTTCGGCCAGATGCTTCCGGATGCTTCCCTTTCCTCAAACGAACTGTTTGGGTTCAGCCAGGTCTTCAGCAGCAGTTTCCGCCGTGTCAGAGGACTGGCGAAGCTGTAGCTGTTTATGGAGACGGACACAACATGGCGGCACAAATTGGCGGCTGCTGCGAAACGAATGCTAAACATGTCACATGTTGACAGCTCGAGGAGAAGGACAAGGACAAGGACGAGGCCAACGATAAGGACAGACGTCACAGACGTCGTTCATGTCGTTCCCACAGATCTCCGATGTTTTTCTGTGAGTTTGAGTAGCAGTCAGCCTCAGGCCCACCATGATTACGGTTCCTCGGACCTTCCTTTGGAAGTGTTTCGAGGTTCTTGTCAGGTATTTGAACTCTGCATGTGTACACTGAATTCATTTTGCCGTCCATTCACCATGTTTGCCCAAATCCCCAATTTCAAGGGAACCCTTTTGCCTGACCGACCTTTCAGCATGGTCGACCGCGCTACGTGGTGAGAAACAGTTGCATCCGGCCTTGCAACTTTGGAGGCGCAGTGGTGCCTCGTCCTTTTGTGTTGCTGAGTGAATCATCAACGTTGTCACAGGCAGACATCAAACATTGCAATCAGTGAATCCTTCGATCGTTGAATAGACATCTTTGGCTTCTGGTTGCTACCAATACTGGTAGCGGAGCCTGCACCTCGAAGAGGGCAGGCTCCCGCTGGGCGAATTCGCTTTTCTGATCCCGTTTGGATTTGTGCACACAACAGCTTGGCATTTTGCTTGGGCTTGCAGTCTGTGGCACCCGGAGATCTCCTGTGCATTTTGCCTGGAGTCATGGCCACAGTGACAGAGCGAAAGGAGCAAGTAGCTACGTGGAATGGTGACCCCGTCCTCTGGCAGGACTACGTAAAGAGGGTTAGGCTGCAGTATGAAAGAACTCCAGTGAAGAAGAGATCCCTGCTAGGTGCAGAACTGGCAAGTCGCCTTACGGGGCGAGCGTGGGACGTCGCCTCAGCTGACCTGGACCACCAACGCCTGCAGAAACCGGATGGACCAGCATACTTGTTACAGTTTTTAGAACAGAAACTTGGAAAGGGTCCTATCCCCGATAGCGGACAGCGTTTGGAAGATTTCTTCGTTCGTTTGAGGAGATCCCCGGGTCAGTCGATGGCAGAGTGGAGCACACAACTGCGTGAGTCTTATCGCAGGTTGCAGATAGCTCTAGCGAGACAGCGCTTTGAGCGAACTGGAACAACTGATGACCCACGCAAGACGTCCACCTCTCAGGTCTCTACTCGTGGTGCTGGAGATTTGCAGTCAACACCGGAGACTCAAAGGCGGCGGTCTGATGTCACTAGCCCACAACATCGAACAGAGATACCACCTCCTCGGACAATCTGGGAGGATGATCAGCATGATGAAGAGCCTCGCCCGGCAGGTGCGCCTGTCGATCCAGAACCTCATGAGCCCAATGTACAAGGAGAATATGAACAACTGCCAGCCTCAGAACCTTCGGAGCGTAGTTGGCAGCGGCGGTGGACCGATGACGAGTGGAGAGACTGGAGACGACAGCAGCGACGTTGGCATCATGGACGAGGACGGTATGACTCGTCTGATGAGGAAGACCATGAAGACTTTCCTGAATTTCAGTGGGAACAGTTTGATTTTGCCAGCGTGGAAGTGTTGCCACCTGAAATCTTAGGATGGTTACTGCTGAGACGATCAGGTCTCCCCTCCTCGGCACGCCTTAGTGTCTTGAGCTCGATCAACAACAATTTGGATCTGGATACGATGGAGAGAGCCATGAGAGATCAAGAAGAGGAGCTCTTGCAAGCAGAGGCACAGAGACAACAGCATGGCGGATTTCGTGGTAGACGTTCATACTGGGTAGAAGAGGATTCACAATGGGGTTTGTTAGCAGACCTAGAAGCGGAAGAACTGGATGAGAATTCCATTCTGTGGTGTGGATCGGAGCTTCCAGAAGAGGTATATGCATCCTCTCCTAAGGCTTCGGCTTGCACTGCTTCGTCAGACAGCTGGACTACACAGCTGCCTTCGGGCCAGGAACTGCATTGGGAATGGTGCGATGATGACTTCTACGCCCTAGATCCTGCAGATGGGTGCTACTGGTCATGTGCAGAGACGAAGGACTGGATGGACGCTTACACCAATTTCACTGACAAGATGCGATCCTTTAGGGAGAGTAGACAAGTGAATACGGCGCGGCATTTGTCTAGGGGTTATTATCCACATAGCATGTTCAAGGGAAAAGGAAAAGGTAAACCACAAAAGGGAAAAGGCAAACAGAAGTCCATGAAATCTTCGTTTTCTTCATCACACCAGCCTCCCACGTCGAATGTCTCCTCGGCACTGCAGAGCACTGCTTATGGGTTTCAATCTGGAAAAGGTACTGGCCAACAGCGGCCAGGCAACCCCGAGTACAAGGGCTGTTTTATCTGTGGGTCGAAGGACCATGATTTCCGCTCCTGTCCTCGTAGGCAACAACAACAGAAGTCGCAAGCTTTGACATCCACGGGTACCAGTTTGTTTTCCCGATCGGTGTTTGCAGTAATTGGAGATGAAGATTGTGATGTTACCACGCCATTGACATGTTCAACCACTCTTGCCACACCACATCCCTGTGTATGTTTTGGTGAACAGAACATGGAAGTCTCCCCTATGTCGTCTACCCCAACATCTCTTCTGAGTATGACATGCACATGTTCTTCGGGTATTGCTAGTACATGGTTTTCACAAGTGCTTTGCAAAGACAACCAAACATGGACATCCCATTTGACCTCACCGCCAGCATGCTCAGGTATACCACCGTCGACAGCGTTGGTGATTACTGGAGTGGCCAGCTATGAAGCTGAGGCGGAAGGTGGGGATGAGTCCACTGCTTGGGCTACACTGTCAGCTGAATATCCGGGTCATGCCATACTTGATTCCGGAGCCACGGATTCAATAGGGTCTTTAGAGGCTTTACAACAACTGATGGACATTCGTTTTGCAAAGTTTGGACATGAAGATGTGCATGTGTATGAACAGAACAAAAAGTTTCGTTTTGGCAACGGCCAGACTCAGAGAGCGGAATCATTTGTAGAAATACCACAATTTGTGGGTGGAAAGCCGGTGCATCTTGGAATCCACACTTTAGATGCACCGGGAGTACCATTGCTCATTTCGATCCAGACACTCACCAAGCTTGAGGCTGTGGTGGATTTTGGACATGATGTCATGCGTTTGCATGGAGTGGATGAAGAATCGTGGATTCCTTTGGTGAGAGGCCGAAACGGTCATCTTTTGCTAGACCTCACAAAGGACTGGTTTCACTCAGGAATGGACCTGAAATCGGATGATCAGTCCGGTGGAGCATATAAGGGCGCTTTTGCCGCTGAAGCCGCAGATGAAGTAGTTAGTCAACATGCATGCTCTTCTCTACCTCTCTTACATGTTCACGGTCCTCCACCTCTCCATCCAGAACAACTCACTTCGGATGTTATGTCAACTTTAGTTTTTGGGCATGGTGAAGCAGAGCATGAAGTTGAGAAAGAGGCCAGCCAACAAGTTTCTTCTGAAGAAATTTTGACAGCTGAACCAATTTCTGAATGTGAACTGATGACGGAAGAGGAATACCGAAGAGCAAAATTGGAAAGCAAGACAGCTGATGAGAGTGCGAGTGCCGGTGTGGACTCAGGCTCAAGTATGCATCGCGTGCTACCGGCTTTGATTGCTATCTCATCGGTGTCTTCAGCGAACCATGTCGCAGCCTTCGACCGAGGGCGTCACGACTCCAGTTCCGCCGTTCGAGGAAGGCACCAACACGACAGCCACTACGAAAGCCAAGGCCAAGTCGCAGCAGAAAAAGCCCACCAAGTCCAAGAAGGACCGTACACCGTCCCCGGAGAAGTACGACTACCAGCGGGCGGAAGGACCCGACATGAGGGACGGCCGAGCCCAGGGCTACCCATGCTTCGGCCAACATGTTGCGATGGCCGAAGGGAGGGGCAGCTTGTCGGGCCGCAACAAGCATGGCCGATGGACAGTTTGCAGCCAGTGCAGACTGAGAATTCAATATGTGCCGGCATACGGTGCCACAGGGGCACACCGTCAGGCTGGTCCCTTGGGACCCGACTCGGCCACAGTGGTGTCCATGGTGAAGGGCAAGATCGAGGAAGACCCCCTGGAGAAAGAGAAGCTGAACAGCAAGCCTTGCAGCAGCCTGGCAGCGGAGGTCTCACTTCGCCAAAGGCTGGAAAAGCTGGAGGCAGACAGGAAGAAGAAACCACCGCAGCTTCGACCAGGGGAGAATTCCAAGGCGGCTCCTTCCACTCCGCCGGCCACAGCTCAGGGCTATGTCACCAAGGTCACCAAGAAAGCTGTGAAAAGGGAATCCGAAAAGACAGCCGAGAAGGCAGAGGCCGAGTGGGAAACAGTCAATGTGTCGGATTAGATAGCCAACATGGTGAACTGCGATCTGGACTTTTGGTGGATGCACAGAAGAGAGTGCTGCAGGAAGCCATGGAAGAGCAAGTGGAGGACGTCAATCACCTTTATGAGGAACTACAGGCTGATGGTTCCAAGGTGTATCTGATGGAACTCTGTTGTCCTCCGGACAGCAGATTGGCACAGACGTTTATCCAGCGGAAGAAGGGTGCCATCCGGGTTGGTTTACCAGCCATTGATGTGAGCACCAAGAAGGGCATCCAAGAGGTGGAGAGTATGCTGGAGAAGTGGCGTCCAGAGCTCTTATGGATATCGCTTCCTTGTGGGCCGTATTCACCCATTCAGACCCTCTTCAATGAGTCCACTCCAGAAAAGAAGGAAAAGAGCATGGCTAGAAAGCATCAGGCCAAGAGACTGATTCACCATGGGATAAGGGCAGCCCGTTTCCAATTGAGCCTAGGCGGAGACATTGCCTGGGAATGGCCAAGGGACAACGGAGGTTGGAACCTTCCACGGGTGCGAGAACTGTGGGATGAACTGAGGTCCAAGGACCGTTTGTTTGTGGCCAAGATCGATGGATGCAGCTATGGCCTGAAGAGCTCAAGGGGCAATCCTATAAAAAAGCCTTGGAAAGTCAACACCACCTTGGCACCTCTGGCAATTGGCCTGGAACGAAGATGTCCAGGGCATGAGCACCACGATGAATGTCTTGGTGGAAAAGAAGCTCGACTTTCCGGCTTTTATCCTCAGGCTATGTGCGACGTCATCTACCGAGTGCTGATGGAATGCAGTCGTGGAAAGGTCCATAGCATCTCTCCGGTCTTTGGCACTGAAGACTTCGATGACATCCAGAGAGAGATTCGAGAACCTCTGGATGAGAAGGAGAAAAAGCCTGGAAAAGTTGCACCGCAAGACTGGGCATCCGTCCAATGCAGCTCTGGCGAACACACTGCGACATCGTGGCGCACATCCGGAAGTCCTGGAATTGGCGCGCAATTTGATCTGTGCAGAATGTCAGGAACTCAGAGCTGCTCCTTTGGACCCATCGTCATCTCTGTTCAAGTCAGAGACTTTGTGGGAAACCATAGTCATGGATAATGCTGAAATCACTGTGGATCAAACCACAGTACATATCATGCTCATGATAGATGAAGCCTCCCGTTTACTTTGTCCTCACTTCCTTTTCGAACACCCTGCAGATCAAAGTAGAAATGCAACTGGAGAAGAAGTAGTGACTGGTTTGCAAGACTCTTGGATAAGACATTTTGGAATGCCTGCAAAGTTAAGACTAGATCCAGAAGGAGCATTTCGTTCCAATACACTCGTCCAGTGGTGTGAGGAACGAGGGATTGAAGTTTTTCCGTGTGCAGCAGAAGCACACGAACAGATAGGCATTGCGGAAAGGGCTATTCAGACAGTGAAGGCCACTACAAGACAAATCTTGCAATCTGGAGAGACAAAAGTTTGGGATGCCATCGTACAAGCATGTCAGACACACAATGAATTTGAGAAGGTCGAGGGGTACTCACCCTTCCAATGGGCTTTCGGCCGTCAGCCGACCTTGACTGGTCGATTTCATGATAAGGGCTATGATGAACCTTGGTTGACGTCGTCAGCTGTACCAGGTAGTAGCATGTCCATGAACCTGAAACTTCGTGTGCGAGCACAACAAGCGTTTTTGAAACAACAATCCTTCGAAGCAATCACTAGAGCGGCCAATGCGAAGACACGAAAAGCTTTGGTGTTTTTGCCAGGGGATGTCGTGTATTTCAAACGCATCAAACCTCCTGCGCAACCACAAGCACAGGTGAGGTTAGCACACAAGCTTTGGAGATGGTACGGTCCAGCTAGGGTTCTAGCATCAGAAACCCGTACCGATGCACTAGGTCATGAACGCAAAGCAGCCAACATTGTGTGGATAGTCTCCCATGGCAGACTCAAACGTTGTGCTCCCAATCAACTCAGACATGCTTCAGCTCGAGAACAGGTCATTGCGGAAAGCAGTGAGGCTGCAACTGCAAGTTGGACTTTTCATAGTTTGGTGCAAACTCTCTACAAAGGGCAGTATGAGATCTTAGATGATCACACGTTCCCAGAAGATAGTAGCGAACGAACATCTGCAACGGAGAGAAGATCTCGCTCTTTAGCAAGAGCACCTCCAACACCGAGAAGAGCCTCCTCCATCCCTGCAAGAGATAGTGCGATAACACCTCGCAGAGAAATGGAAATGACCTTGCAAGAGCTAGCAGAGACTCACAAGAAGAAACAGAAGGTGACTAGGCCATCTCCGTCTCCGAGCACTCCTATGCCCTCTTCTATGCCTTCAACTCCCACTCCGGCAGTAGCATCAGATGGTGTAGGTGGTACAGACATTAGTCTGCAAGAGTATCTCAGAAATCCAGCCTATGATCCTCCAGCACAGGCCGTGCAACCAAAATCACGATCAATGGGTGAGCTGTTTGAGCAGCCCCTATTCAAGAGGCAGAAACAAGCTCTGGGAGAGGCAGATGATTCTGCCTTGTTTGCTACTTCCTTTTTCAATTCTCAGCATGAGCTTCGTTGTGAGAAATTGGCGTGCACGATCGATTTGGATCTGCCAACCAAGTCGTCAGAGTGGAGACGCTTGCGAAGATCTCCCGAAGCTTTCTACGTGAAGAAGGTGAAAGGAGCAGAAGTGAAGTGGCATGCCTTGAGTGATGATCAGAAGGTTGCTTTCGACAAGGCCAAACAGACCGAGGTGTCTCAGTGGTTGAGTGCAGCGGCCGTGAAACGAGTGTTTGGACCTGTGCCAAAGGACCGTCTGGTCAAAATGAGATGGGTCCTCACGTACAAAGAATCAGGGGCAGCAAAGGGACGTATAGTCCTAATAGGCTATCAAGACCCAGACTTAGCCTCACTCACAACGGCCGCGCCCACCATGTCCCAGCGGACACGACAATTAGCTCTACAATTCTCATCTGTAAAAGGATGGCGAACCCTGAAAGCAGACGTGAAGGCTGCATTTTTGCAGGGTACTGCGTCAGAACAACAGAGAAATTTGTTTGCTATTCCGGTGCCGGAACTTGCAAGTGCACTAGGTTGTCAACCGGGCGAAGCAGTCCAGGTACTGAAGAGTTGTTACGGACTTGTCAATGCTCCCTCTAGTTGGTTCCTGTGTGTCAAAGAGACCCTTGCCAGCTTGTCCTTTGTCCAGTCCAAGACAGACCCTTGCCTATGGTTCTTTCAGAAGCAAGTGAGCGATAGTGAAGCTGTAACTCTTGGATACATTTGCTCGCATGTTGATGATTTCTTGATAAGTGGAGACGAACAATCGGAGGAATGGATGAATGCCTTGCAGTCCTTTTATGATCGCTTCAAGTGGTCACCCTGGGAATGCAACACGTATACACACTGTGGCATCCGGATCCGAGAAGAAACTGATTTTTCGTTTTCTCTAGACCATTCAAGTTTTCTGGAAAATTTGGAGCAAATTGATTTCAAAGGACGCCCAGACCACGAATTGATTACAGAAGAAGAGAGAACTCAGTTGAGAGGAGTTCTTGGGGCTTTGCAATGGAGATCACACCAAAGTACGCCCATGTTAGCAGCAAAACTGGGACAACTGCAAAGTGATATCACAAAGGCAACTGTTAGCACTTTGAGACAAGCCAACTAACTAGCTAGAGAAGCCTTTCAAGATCGTTTTATTTCAGCTCGCATCAACCAGTTGGAAGTCAATGACCCCAAGGATGTCACTTTCGTCATGTGGTCAGATGCAGCACTAGCTAATCGAAGAGATTTGAGTTCAACTGGCGGTTTTGTTTTGGCGGCAACCAATCAAAGCATGCTGCGAGGTGATTTGGCACCTTTGTCGCTTATCTCGTGGAGATCGGCGAAACTTCAGCGAAAGGCGCGTTCTTCTTTGGCAGCTGAGGCGCAAGCTCTGAGTGAAGCCGACCAAGAGTTGATGTACACTAGGTTGCAGTGGAGTGAGTTTTGCGGTTTCCCAATTGATTTGAAAGACACAGCCAGCAGTGTATCTAGAATCAAGGGAGCAGTGGTCATAGACGCCAAAGCATTGTTCGATGTTTTGCAAAAGAAGGATCTGAACTCGGCTGGTGGTGGTTTGAGGGACAAATTTTCTTTTTTGGAGGTTTTGTGTTTATTGGAATCTTTGGAAAAACACCAGACCGATGTAAAATGGGTCCATAGCGAAATTCAGCTTGCCGACGCTCTGACAAAGCCACTTCCTCACGGTGTTTTGCAGAAAGTGTTGATTGAAGGAAAGTGGCGACTGACGTTTGACCCTAATTTTGTCAGTTCCAAGCGTTTGCGCAAGCAGCGAAATTGTACAGAAGGCAACATGGTAATTTCCGGCACCTCCTTGGGGCGTGTGAGTTTGAGTAGCAGTCAGCCTCAGGCCCACCATGATTACGGTTCCTCGGACCTTCCTTTGGAAGTGTTTCGAGGTTCTTGTCAGGTATTTGAACTCTGCATGTGTACACTGAATTCATTTTGCCGTCCATTCACCATGTTTGCCCAAATCCCCAATTTCAAGGGAACCCTTTTGCCTGACCGACCTTTCAGCATGGTCGACCGCGCTACGTGGTGAGAAACAGTTGCATCCGGCCTTGCAACTTTGGAGGCGCAGTGGTGCCTCGTCCTTTTGTGTTGCTGAGTGAATCATCAACGTTGTCACAGGCAGACATCAAACATTGCAATCAGTGAATCCTTCGATCGTTGAATAGACATCTTTGGCTTCTGGTTGCTACCAATATTTTCCCACCAACGTCCTGCCCCGGTGCTGCCCCGGTGCTGCCCCTGCGTTGCGTTGCGATTCCCGCACCGTGGTGAATTCTTCACAGTGTTTCGTCATATCGTCATGATGTTCACATCATCTTAAGGACCTTTCATGACCTTTCTCAGTCTTTTTCACCCAGGCTAAGGGTCTGAGACTTCGACTTCTAAGAACACTGAGCGGGATGTCCATGTGCAGGACAAAAAGATGGACTCCACTCACATCGACTACACAGGAGAGGGAGCTGATTTTCTACATTTCATTTTTGGAAAACTGTTTCACTGTTTCAAAGCTTCACTGGTCCCAATTTGACCTTGTGGCACTCCTCGGCAGTGACCTCTGCTTGCGAGGATGTATTATACCTCAATGGACTGTCAGAAACCCAGAGCTTTGCATTCAAGTTCTCCAACTGTCGGAAATTTGACCCACAGGATGGAGATTGGATATGTGCTGAAGCTGCGGATGTTCCCGCTGCTTGGCTGCTCATAACATCCCATTACCCATTACATCTCATTGCATCTTATTGCTCTAATCTAAAGGACATTGCACATCAAGGTAGGACCACAATGGATTAAGAACTAGAGTGGGGCAAGAAGGTTTATGGATGATTTGTTTGTGTTCTTTTTCGCATATGGCCTGTGCATCCGGTTGCATGCTCAATGTGCAGGTTCGAGACAGTCAACGGAAAGTTCCGTGAAGTGTACAGATGCTGTTTCCGAGTGAAATCAAGCAAATCTGAAGATGGTAGCCAAGGATACTCAGATCTATGACGATTCTCAAAGCAGGCCAGGCCGTCAATCTTATCTGATGGACAGAGACCTTCAATGGATCTATTAGCAATCCACAAGGTACCAGTGTCAGTTTTGCATGGGCAAGAGTTGTGGGATTATGAGATGCAATCGCAGTATCATATGTATCATTGTAGATTCGCCGTCATAATATAAACATATTAAACATGCAATATTGACATGTTGAGCAAGTCAGTGCGACGCAACAGTCCAGTAGGACCCGAAAGAAGCTTCGAGAAGGTGATGTTTGTTCCGTGAAATGCCCCGATCCTCGGTACTGGCAGGACCGAGAGATAGGAGAGAGATAGGAGAGACTTGGGAGAGAGTTTTGGCAAAGCTTCAGCCCTTCACTTCGATCCAGTTCCAATTTTCGAAGGGTGATTTTGCTGGCAGAAACCATGGCAGAAACCATTGAGTTCTGCACGATGTGGACTCTTTATGACTCTTTATGACTCTTTAGTCATTCTGCTGTGGTCATTCTTCCAGAAACCTGAACCAGCAGCACTGGTCTGCAAGAGCGGTAAATGGAGGGACGAGGCTGGTGCAGAGACTGAGGCTCATTGAGGACCGAATTGATGGTAGACACGGAGACAGTCATAGAAATGGGTCGGTTGAATATTTGCAATGAGTTGGCTTTAAAATAAGATGATATATGAGCTCGCTTAGCTCGCTTAGCTCGCCTCTTCGAGTCTCATGGGGCGAAGGTCACTCGAATCAACGTGAAAAAGATCCAATGTGAGACCGCAGGTCGCTGTGAGTGCTGTGACTTGACATTTTGGAGAGCAACTCAGAATTGACTTCTTCTAAAAGATGAGGCCTTAATTGCCAAAAGAATATTAGAACATTAGCCGAAGAAATATCAATCATGATCATGTAATGGCTGTAATTTTAATGGTCAATAATTAATATGATTTCTCCGGAAAAACCGTTCTTGGAGGGGCCCATCTCGACATCATTTCGACGGATTTTTTGACAGGTCGCTGGATTTTCATGTTTGGCTTCTTGATGATCTCGCTGCCTCTGTGCTGCCTCTGTTGCGCGGTCTGCGCCTTCTTCAGAATTCGGAAGAAGGACTCGGAAAGGGACCCGGAAATCGACCCGGAAGCCAACGGCAGGGGAGCAAATGCGTCACAAATGCGTCACAAATGCGTCACAAAAGGGCAAGATTGATGGGTGGAATTCCCAGATCAAAATTCAGAATTGATCCAAATAAATCGATAAATCGACATTTATCAATCACTCAAATTTCTATCAACATCAATATGCAGAGCATTGCAGAGCCATTTTTTCTTTGATCAAAAGAACGCAAAGAAATGGCTCTTTTGAATGGCTCTTTTGAATGGCTCCTGGTTTCAGTTTCTGTCAGGATCGTGGGGCTCCAGCTCCAGCTGAGCAGCCACCACAGCCTGCCGAGGTGTGAAACAAAAAACACGACATGTTACCGACATGTTCGAGAGATCTGGATATTTTCGACATTTTCGACATATATTCAACTTGTTTTGTTACAGTTTTGTTATACTTTATTTCTTAATATATTTCGATAATTGTCGATATTGATATTGAATCATCAGGAAAAAGTGAAGTTCAATCTTGTGTAGTATATTGTAATATTGTCATGCATTGTCGTGAAAAACGAAGATTGCCGGATTTGTCAGGGGTCAGAAATGAGGTCAGAAACGGTATCTTCAATCCTTGGATATCCTCTGTAAAGCAGATACATTGCGAGTTATCCCTCGCCCTTTCATCATCTTTCATCATCTTTCATCCACCAACAATGGCACCGACACCACCGACACCACCGACACCACCGACACCAACAATCCGATCCAGTGGAATTCTTGCTGCAGTTCTCCATTTACTTCATTTCCATCCATTTCCTCTGCAACCTACGCACTCTTTGCTATCTTTGCTATCTTTGCTATGAGCTAGTTACGCTAGTTTCAAGTTGGGGTTCTCAAAATCAAATTTGCAAGAGAAAAGCATCAGAAAAGCTTCAGAAAAGCATCATTTATTTTCATTTCGGTGCACGAAAAGGTCAGTGCCTTTGCTGCCACATACAACATTCTCTAATTAACATACAAAAGACAAGCCTAAGTGCCCTGGTAGTCCGGCATCCACGACTGGCGATGTACAAACGAACTGGCTTTTGCAGCTCCGTGGACCCAGCTCAGCAGGTTGTCAGGCAAAATCACTGGTTGGACTGCAAGCTTCCGGGTGGCAGCAGCCAACGCTTGTGAGATGGTAAAAGCAAGACCTTTGCAAAAGCGTGCTGGATACTCCTTATGCCTAGCCGTTTTAAATTGTCCAGTAGCGTCGCGGCCAATCGCGACCTCTTGTGGCCTCAAGGCAGTGGTATCAGCATGTTGATACAGGTCTTTGCAAAAATTCGGCATCTGGTAATGTAAAAGTCCTGTTGGTTTGGTGACGGTCGCACCCCACTTGAACTGACAGATATGTGATAACTTGGCTTCCGGGTGCCTCATGAGCACCTGCAAAATGGCGCTAGTCCAGATGCTGGGCCGCGTGTCATCACTGGACTTTGCGGGGTGTTCCGAAACGAAACAGCCTCCGAATTTCATATGGTAGGAGAGAACTAATGCACCCTGTTGAAAAAAGTTCCCTCCTAAATGACACTGTCTAAGTTCGCGTGCGGTAAGTCCTTCTAATCCCAAGAGACGAAGTGCTGACCTGAGTGGCCTGGGCAGAGTTGATCCAGGGGGTAAATCTTCTGGAATCATAAATCTGGCTTCACTAAACGTCTCACATGGGGAACCTACAAGCGTGGCTCCTACAGCACCCATTGCGTAAATCTGCTCCAGAATTCGCCAGGAAGCGCTGTCAAGTGCCAAATCACCAAACTCACTTGAGACTGCTGTATCAAGCGATAGGACAATCAGCTTGAGTTGACGAGAGGTCGCAAATTCATGGAGAGCGTCATGGACATCGTCCGGTCTCCTCCTTCCACTAAAGAGGTGTATCACCAAGAAAGCCTCTTCACCATTGGGCAATAACAACTTGGGACAAGCTCTAGGAGAGGGTAGATCCAGAAAACGCATCTGTCGGATTCGTTGCTGCCATTGGACTTGGTCTGCAAAGGGCCTCGGGACCTCTTGAACAATCCTGCTATTGGCTTTAGGACACTTCGGTTTGTCCGCCGGTGCTTGTGAGCGGTGCGCCTTCGGGTCCAAAGGTGCACATAGGCCTAACTTGTACGTAAGGTGGGCTCGCTGCGCAAGCAGTCGGTATCTATCCAATTGGGCTGCAAACTCGGCAAACAGATGGTCAATATCCAACTCCGCTACTCCATCTTCAAGGGAGGCAAGAAGGTCAGGCATCCAATGTTCCCCCCAAAGCAAGAAAACCATCTCCAACCAAGGGTCAAGGTTAACGTCCGAAGTGAAACATCTTGCACATAACACTTCAACCCATGCATCAGCCAACAGGTTCTTTTCTTCTTCTGTAGGTCCTTGCGGATAGAACCTCTGGAACCATTTGGAGGTAGCTTGGGTGAGCTCCTCCCCAATTCGCTCTCCCTCGGCAACTGGATCTGGTGGCTGATGAATAATTGTCAGTTTCCGGTTACAATCATCCAATGCAATCTGCGTAGCCACACGCTGAATTTCTTGTGTTGTACAAGGACTAACTGCTGGTCCTTCTGTTTGGAGGCATTCACGGCGATGAAACCAGCAAATGAGGCATTACAACCTTCATCTACCTTACAATAAGGGACCTGTCGAGCCTGGGATTGCAACGCATGGAAGCATGGGTTATACCCTAATGTCTTCGGGATGTAAGCCAGATGCTGCTGTAAACGCTGGGTGGACCAAAGGTACTTACCACAGTGTAAACACGTACATCCTTGCAGAAACTGATGTTCAGCAGAAAAAAGGGCATGTGCCTTGCGTTGATGTGCAAGAAGGCCACGTTTTGTAGAGAAAAAAAGCAATCAAATCGCTCATCCCAGTCACAAAGGTCTTCAAACAAAGCGTCAAATGTGGCCCCTGCTGCACGCAAATTTCGGAAAATCCCAGCATGGAGCATCTTTGCATCAGCCATGATAGCGTTCTGTGTGAGGTGTAATTTCCAAACTTTCTTGACAAGCCGAGTCCAATGCTGTGTGGGCTCTTGCCACCAGTCAATAAGGCTAGTCAAGTCATCTCGCCACCCTTCCGGCAAACAGTGGGGGCAAACTTCTTCCATCCAAGCAAGGTCTGCCTTTAATCCATGCATCCATGAGTGCTCAATCTGCGCAAGCTCAATCTGAAGCAAATGGTGCAAGAAAGGTGGCCCCGTACGGAATAGCCGTTGTGCATATAGCAACCTCTCAACTGCAAGACGGGCTCGAACCTCTGCAGTATTGGCAAGCTTCAGAATTTGATCAACTGGGAGACGCTCCTGACCAATGCGTAGGACCTTTTTAAGCATGGCCGTCAACGCTCCCTGTAGATATTGAAGTTGCTTCGGAGTTGGGGTTGTCCAGGCCCCTAGACCGAAAAAGAGTTTCGTGGTAATGAGAGACTGGAATAGTTGCAACCTCAGCTTGGAAGGCATAAATTTGTTGGTCAAAATAGGTTTGGCCAACTGAGCAAATGCCGACTTAGCCATACCGACTCGAGAATGCAGTTCACAATGCAGAGCATGGTTGGAAGCAAACAAGGTTCCTAAATGTCTATAAGAAGGGACGAAATGCAACCACTCGGTTTGCCCATCCTCAAAAGTGCAGTAGACCCCTGGGTTGGCATGCAACTGGTATTGCTTACGCAACTCCCCTGATCCAGCGCCCTTCAGCGGCAAGACCGCACTAGTCTTACCCTTAGAGAAATTGAGAGTAAATCCATGGCAGCGCAAGGTGTTGCGTACATGCTGCAAGGCTTCCTTCAAGAACGGGATCAGGTCAACAGCTTTCCGAGTGGCAAGTGGTATTGCAATATCATCTGCCCATAAGATGGTAGGGACATCAATATCCAGCTCTCGCAGAAGTGCAACAAAATCGGCTTGTGCTCCAATCCATTCATCAATCGACTGGGCAACTCGCACCATAAGTGCATGGAATATGATATCTGCCAAAGGGCTCCCAGGCCGTGTCCCTCGATGGGTACGAAGTAACCATCGTTCATGAATAGCACACCAAGTCCCAATATGGATATCACGCAACAATCTCACAATTGGCTCGGCAATGCCGATTTCCGAAAGGAGCCCTAGAAGCTTGGCAAAGCACCGAAAGTTCGACTCCGCATGTCCTGATTGTTGCAAAACAGCCAAAACTGGTTCGAGATGACTCCCATCCCATGATCCAACAACACTCTCTCGCACAAGATGATGAAAAGCACTAGCTAAATCCAGAAATAGGACTGCGCAGCTAAGACCAGCGTTGTCACACAAAGTGCCAAATGTTCGCAAGGCATGCGATCCATAAATCACTTGTTGCCCTGGGAAGCCACCAAGCTGGCCAGGTGCTCTGACATAGGCAAGTTTGTCCATGATTTGTGTCCTTAAGATAGCATGGGTGCGCTTCCCGACACTCGGTAGGAGAAGGATCCCTCGAAATTGCTTGGCTGTCTGCGGGTGCAAAGTCTTAGGGATAAGGGCAACTGGGCCCCCCTTGTCCTGCATCGGTTCACATTGCCAAACATACTCCTTCAAGGCTAGATCATGGTACAATGCAGCTAGTTGTGCAGGCGCTGAGTGGAAAAGCATAGAGGGTAAGGGATCAAACCCGGTAGCCTTGCCAGCGGTGCAAGATCGGAATGCCCGCTCCAGTTGCGTAAGGCGGGGTAGGTCAGTCAAATTCAGCTGCAACGGTGCATCAATTCTACGTAAAGCTTGTTCAAATGCACAATCCTGAACAAGTTTGGCAGGGGTAATGGGAGTTCCCGCTTCCAATTCAGCATAATGTGGAAGCCATTGGTCTTCTAATGAGGCCAATTGGGCTGGGTGTGCTGAAAGTCGCCGCTGTTGGAATTTAGGTAGTGAGCGACGTACCACACGCCACAAATGTTTAACATCCCGTGGGCGCAAGAAATCTGCACATTCACGAAGCAAACCTGTATAGAAATCAACATCGTCAGTTCTGAGAGCCTTGGAAACCTGAACTCCAAGTCTGCGGAATTGATGATATGCAAGGGCTATTAGCCTGTCCTGTTCAGCGAGAAGGCAATCAAAAGCAGGTGCAAGAGCGTCAAGAGGACAATCAAAGCAGGCATGTCTCCAGCAGGCAAACCATGCTTCCATAATGGTTTGTCGTTGGGCCCTAGAGCGCTCATGCAACAAGTTCCTAGAATGCCGTTTTTCTAAAACTAGTTGCCATGTGGAATCCGACATGGTGGCCCGCTGGATTCTGGCTTGTTTGCGATCTCGATAATCCCATAACTCATCGACAAGGTCATGTTGGAGGTTTTTGGCATGGGTATGCACATCAAA